GAAAGAAGCAACTTACCCCTCCACAAGGGACAGTGGCTCCACCAGACCCCACTTTCTCTGAAGAGGTTCCTCTCACTTAATTGGAAATTCCATTGAAGCTGAAAGTGAAAGTTGTTCTGTTTGACTTTTGGCTTCCTTTCAACTTTGGGATTTACTCTTAAGGTCTAGTGGCATAAATTCCTCAGCAGAGATTGCTTAAGGAAGGTCTGTTCTTGCCAATACTTTCAGAGGACACGGTTCTTTCCAAGGCTACTCGATTATTGCTTCTGGAAAGTAAAAGAACTCTGTTCTCCCCACTAAAATGTGGCTTTGAAAATATAGTGTAATAGCTTGGCAGGAATGGTGAGGCAGTGGATCCAGGTGAAAGTGAGGAGTACAGATGTGACAGTAGGCCAGGAGGCTCCCCGCCACATGGAGGGAGACCCACAGGTTGTTTCTTTTTAAAGAAAAGGGAAGAAGGTATAGCATGAATTTTATATGAACTCAGTCCACCTTTCCATTTTTATCTCAGGCACTCCTAGCCCAGGCCTTCTGGCAAGTTAGGGCTTCCCATCCATCTCTCCACACTCCTACTACTCTTGGCCCTGACACTCAGTCTTCACCATATCACCCAGCATGTTTCCTCCACTAAGTCACCCAGACTACTAGTCCAACCAGAATGATTCTCTATGAATTACTGAACCACCAACTGCTGGAGTTGCTCAGTTCTCATGGCGCTAGGTTTACGTTCAGTTATTTTCAAATGTATATCTTTCAGTTCCCCACCTGACTCCCAAAACCTTAGTCACAAAATCTTTTCTCCTTCATTCCCCCATAATGCCTAGTAGAATCACCAAAGAAGGCATTTAATAACTTTATTTGTAAATAATAATCATCTTTATAAATAATAAATTATTTTTGTAAGTAATCTTATGAGTACAGCTTAGTTTTTAGGACTCAGGGATCTATTACGTCGATGAAGCAATCAAGAAAAAAGACATGAGAAAAGTTGGTAGTTTAGCCTGATAGCATTGTCTACACCCAGCACAATTCTTTTGCTGTGAGACAATGCCAGCTGGTCCTCCACATCTGTGTTGGGGATCAAGGAAAAAATAAGCTAGGCTCAGTCAGTGGATAGCCTGATCACTGTTAGCAAGGTAGAGAGACTGGTGAAATCACTCAGCCTAGGTTCCAAAAACATTTTTTGAAGGGAAAAAGCTTACAGTCATTACAACAGCTTCCATTATCATGAGCACTGCTGATCTCACAAATTACAGTAAGCTTTCTTGCTAATGTGAATTCATGCTAAACTTTAGCGAATATCAAATGAGTGATAAATGACCAAGACATCTAAGACATGGTGCATACCCACAGCAAACAGATTGCTTCTAAACTGATTCTAGCTCATCTGAAAATCCAGAAGATTGCATCTTGCTTTACTTTAAGTAGAATAAAATAGCAGAATATTGAATGTTTTCCTCCAGGCAGGGACAAAGCAGATCTTACAAGTAATCTTGTCCTTAAACTGGAACAGTGGGAAGCACTATTTGTTGTTGTGTTGTTTTGGATATATATTTTGTAAACAAAAATTCCTTCACATTCTCAAGGTAGAGGCAAAAAGGGAGCCTTATCAGAATTAGCACTCTGTGAAGGGCACACTGCCTACCTGCTGTGAGAAATGCACTGGAAGATCCATTAAAACCCACTGAAAAATCAGAGCCTCTAAGCTTCATTACAAGGCTATTAATAGGAAGCAAAATATTCTTTGTTTATGCTGTATTCTTGTCCAACAAGCTACAGGAAAGAGAATACATATTTATTAATATATAATCATCCTCTAGTGTCAACAAAGAACAGGGACACTACAACCTTTCCCAAAGGCTCCTGACTACAAACAACAGAGTGAAAGATTCTGATGTAGCAAGTGAGTCAGCTCCCGTCTGCAGAGAACCTGGGGGTGGGGAGAGAAAAGAAGACAGTGTTGGGAGCAGATGACCAGATCAGAACAAGCAGCTTTCAACTGGCAGGATTCCCAGGAGGTCTTCCCCAGGGACAGAGTTGGTGGAAAACATAAAACATCCAGAACCTCTGATGACAAACTCACCTCCAGATACCTGAAAACCCCGTACATATGAAGAGTAGTCTTGGTATTAAAGACAAATTATACAGAATCACACAGCCCACCTCCAAAAAAAAAAAAAAAAAGTCATACAATGAGTGGGAGTGATGATAGAAAAGATGGATTCTATACCTATAATTTTAATGTATATTGTTTCACTTACATCCTCCTAGCAACCTCATATGGAAGAAATTATTCTCATTTCACAGAGAAACTAAACCTTACAAGCAGTTCAATCACTGTCTTAAGCTGGAACTTGAGTCAATCCAAAGCAACCTAAAGCCACAACTGTGGTTCTCGCTGGCTCTCTGCTCTTCTTGAAAAAGAACACATTGTAAATAATCTCCCATTTTTTAAAAAGATTTATTTACTTATGCCTACAAGTGCTGATGTATAGGCCAGAGGTGTGGGGGGTGAGAGGATTCACCAGAGACAGAGTGAGGAACAGAACAGGCAGATCTACTGAAATACACTGCTGAGGGGAGCAGCGGATGAGTCAGGAGAGGTCTGCTGCGCCAAGTGGGTTGCTCCTTGGCTGGCCAGGGGATCGAACCCATGCTTCAGAGGCTGTGGACAGCTTCATAGGTTGTGTCTTAACCCTTTGTGCCACCAGGGAGGCCCAATAATCTCCCATTTTAGCCATAAGGACACAACGAGTTCTAGTTATATCTGAACAGTATGGACCAATGGTTTTCCAACAGAATCTTAAGATTCCTCTGTTAGACAAACCCATGTAGCTGCCTGGGCACTGCTGAGTCATTCGTGGATGTAACTGTTTCACCAGAGTTCTAAGTAAAATTAAAGTATTGACATATTTTAAAATGAATGAATAGGGCCTCCCCGGTGGTGCAGCGGTTGAGCGCTGGGTTGCGAAGCTGCCCGCAGCCTCTGCGGCACCGGTTCGATCCCCGGCTGCTCCCTGGCCACCAGAGGAGGGTCCCACATGGCGCGCAGACCTCTCCTGCCGCCCGCTGCTCCCCTCAGCAGTGTACTTCGGTCCTTCTGCCTGCTCTGCTCTCCGCTCTGGCTCTGGTGAATTCTCTCACCCTCCCGAGCTTCTGACTGTACCCAGTGCATGTATAAACAAAAACAAAGAAAGAAAGAAAGAAAACATGCCTCTATATAAAAAAAAAAAAATAAATAAATAAAAAAATAAAATGAATGAATAGAACAGATACATGCATATAGGTTAGAAATTGGGAAAGAAAAGAATACTGACATTGGAGGGAAGGGTTGAAAAGGAAGGAAAGAGCATTCAGCATAGTAGTGGAAGGACCCTAAAGTGAGGGAGAAGTGCCTACAAGATGCAGAGAACCCAAATGTGAAAAGCCCTAGGACAGAGCCAAGGTGTGGTCCCCTGCTTTTCACACAAATCTCTCAAATTCAGCCAAGGGTAGGTGAGTAGGCTATAATAGTCTCTTCAGTTTATCATGTATATGTTTGCTATTATCAAATGTAAAAACAAAATCAAAAACAAAATTAAGAATTGCCTTTACATTGCTCTTCTTCTAAGACTCCTGGCCTGAGCAGACCTGTACCAAGTGCTCAGTGCCAGCAAAAGTCTGTTCTAAATGCTTTCAGTGGACCATACCACTTAGCTCCTATTGTACCCCTTCTAATACCTCCTCAAGTAGATGGGAACATGGAATGGCTCTACTATTGGGTAAGTGCCAGGACCAGGATCCCAACCCAGCAGTCAGGCTGGGAGCCAGCAGGACAATTCACTTCAGAGACCTCGCCCCTCAGTCCAGGCAAGTAACAGTGTAGACAGTTGCAAAGAACTACCACCAGATGAAATGTATGTTGAACACCAAGAAAGCAAACACCTAACATGAAATTTCCCACTGAAAGTGTAGAGATGGAACCCTAATACTGCTCATTATTAGAAAATTGACACAACAGAAAAACTTAAGGAAAATTATTGTACTATTAGACTCTCAAATTTTGCAAGCCAAAATAGCAGACACAGTCATTTTCTCAGCTTGCCCCCAATATAAAAATGCAGTGGGAACAGTGAAAATTATTGCTCTTAAATCTCACTCTACGTCACATTACAGCACCAATATTTATGGAAGCTTCCATAACAAAAACTGTAAAATTTATAAACAAAAACAACTCTAACACTTCAAAATAATGTCAGTAAGACTGGAGAGAAGTTTCACATCTTGATCTCAGTAAGAAGACTCCATGAAGAGGGTCAGGGCTGTGAACATTCTTCCAGGATGTGCTACTGAAAAACACTCCCCTCCCCAGACTTTACCCAGCCAAAGGAAACACAGCAGACAATCAGTTACTTCTCCTTAGAGAAGTCCAGAGTGATTCAGAGCTGTCTTCCTTCACCTTTCTCTTCCTAAAAAAACTTCAAACTGATTTCATCTTTTTAAAGTTTAAGAAACGTCCACAGCCTGAATGCGGGGGAACTTACACTTGTAAACAGCCCACTTAAGTTCTTTTCCACCAAGTATCGGACAGAAATACACACAATCAGGATATTTTTAAGAGTCCCATTTGTATTTTAATTACATGATTAATTATGGACTCTGCATCTTTCCTTGCTGACTTAAAATTATTTTTTAATTGTTACTTAAAATTACCGTAAAATGTATATAAAACTGATATGAGAAATACTAAATTAATATATTATTTCATGGAACCCAGTTAGTACTTCAAGTATCCAAAGCCTATTCCAAAACACAGTGCCACCTTTGAAAACTATAAATTACCCACCTGGAGACACACCATCTTTCTTCCTTAAAAGAAGGAAAACATTCCCTTTGTGAAAATGCAAAACTGTTTTCTTAACACAAAAGCACAAGATCCTCTCCATTTCCCATAAGCCTACTTCCTAACCATTCCAGAAACAATTAAAGGAAAGCTGCCAAGGTGAGGAGGAAGGACTTACAGTTGAAGATCCCTGGAGGTGGATGTTCAGTCACCAGGAGACAGTTTTCTTCATCACTGTTGTCCCCACAGTCGTTCTGTTGGTTACAGACCAGTGACCCAAGATACAAGCATTTACCACTGGCGCAGGTGAATTTGCACTCTGAAAAAGCATAATAAAAGGCATGAGGCAGTCAGTGCAAGCTGGATGCTCTTGAATTTATATACCATGATAATTTGAGAACTCAGTCTATATGCAGATCCCAGTAAACTGAACTCAGAAAAGCATTATCTTGCTAAGGAGCTGCCATCTAGGAAACCCAAAGAGCAGGCACCGGGGCCTTCCAGTACCTGTTGTACTATCACCCCATCCCCCTGACCCACAAAACTATTGTTGCCTTACTTCCACAACCTGCACAGCAAAAGTCCTAACTGTAGGGTTCTTATTTATCTTAAAAATATCCTTGGCAGTTTTCCACCCTTCCAAGGGTGAATGAAGGGAGCCAGTGTAGCTGGGACTGGGGCCCAGACAGAACTCAGAAGCTCAGGATTGACAAAAGGAGGGTCATGCATTTCATGTCTGGTATATTGTGAAGCTCTGGGAAAAATATTTAACCTCTTGGGTGTTCATCCCTCTTGTGCCTAAGAAACACCAATTTTAATACCAGGCAGGGAGTGGCACTGACTTTATAACATAAAACATGAGAAAATAATGTGTGCTTTCTGCTACTGAGAAGCAACCATGCCAGGATGACTTAAAGAATAGCTGGAGCCCAAACCCAAATCTCTGTAAACCATACTGAATATGTATTCCCTCAACTCTGTAAAAAACAATATCTGAAAATGCAATGTACTTCCTTAAGACTTCAAAATAAATCAGCAAATTTAACACATTATTATCAATTTAAACAATTATGGATAAAGGAAATTACACAACTACAAACACGTGGGCATACAAACATCCAAGGATATCTCATAATGAATATCACTTTTCATCCTAACTATGAATTTTTTCTCAGGAGCACCCACAGAAATTGCAGGGTTTATTTCAGGAGGTCCCACTTTTTTTTTTTTTTTAAACTTTCACAATCCCACTGGCACTGACTACAACATCATCTTCATTTCTCCTTGATTTTTATCTACTGGAATACGGGTGGCAGGCTGGAAACATGTCCAAGGTCCTTTGGACACTAACATTCCATTTTTCAAATTCCACTTGATTCTTCAAATCAAATGCACACCCAGGCTAAGGAAACGTAAGACTGCAGAGAAAATAACCCTTTACCTGCTGTAAAGAGACAGAACTTAAATCCCCCAAGCATTTCTGTGAACCATTATGAAAGGATATTACAATTCTTCATTTGTTAACATTCTCCTGAAAATATGCAGGAAAAAGCCACTAACCACAATCCCTGACCTAGTACAGAATAACATGTGGACACAACCCAAATCCACAACCACAAATTCATAGCTAGCTGTACGGACCAGGTTAAAAAAACCTGTGTGCTGAATGTGATCCAGACATGTGATGTGGTAGGAGACTGAAGCTATTCTCTTTTCCCATAAGGTAGAAAGATTAAAACCCAGCTGTTCAAAATCACATTATTAAGTGACTTTTTAAAGACTTAATGGAAAAAGGGGGTGTCAAGGAAAGAATTTATCTTGTTTTCCAAAGGAAATATTGGAGTTCAGATTAATACCAAATATGACAAGGACATCAGCCAAAAACAGGTACTCCAGATGTTGTTAAAAATGTGATTGGGAAAATAGGATACTAACCTAGACTGAGTCACATTCCAATTTAACCACTGCTGTGATTTGAAAGGATATCAGGTTAGAGTACCATGTGTCAAGTTCAAGTAGAACTGAGCCAGCAGGGAAATGAAAACAGAGCTACACTTTACTCATTTTACCATGTTCAAGTCTAGAGTAATAAAGTGTTCAAGTCAAGGAAATAAATTATGTGATTCATTAATTTACATAACCAATATTTTAGCCCTTTCTATGTTATGTACCAGGCATTGAGACATGGAGACACTGATGAAAGCGCAAGCCCTCTACAAAGGGCTTAGAATTTAAACGTTTTTAAAATGTGAGCAATGACTAATACATAGGCTCACTCCTTCCAAGGACATATTTTCCTTCTTCATATCCTTCCATCTAAAGTACTTCCTGCTATATATAACAGGAACTCAGTGAATCATATATTTATTAAAGAAATAAATGATCTAACCTAAGTCTCCTATAAACCTTGTGAAATAATTTAGATATTATTATTCCCACCTAATAGATGAGGAAATTAAGACTCAGAAATAAGTGACTTGCCCATAATTAAACTTCTAATAAATGGCAAAGCCCAGATGTGTCTAAATCCGCTGCCTCTCCTCTCAGGGTCTCTCATCACTGCCTCTCGTTTTCTAAATCTGCTTCCGTGAATGTGTAAACCTCACCACAATAAAGATGCCCATGTATTTCACAAAGTTCTCAAAATAGCTTTTCTTGGGTAGTTTTAACATTAGTTAGGATACATTAACAAGGCTTGTAATGACTGATTTTCACATAAACTCACACTTAGATAATAGAAACGTCAGTATCAACCCACTGAATTTTAAATTTATAAAATTTAAATCTTCTCAATTGTAAGTGAACTGAATTTTGAACTAAAGGCCTCTCTGTCACACAGTCACAGCACAACTGGATTAAAAATTTGAATCTACTGTCTTCTTTATGTGGTGGAAAATTACTATAATGCTACTAAGTGTTAAAGATTAATGTAAAAGCTAGAATTGCAATGCAAGCCAGAGTAACACATCTGTCTAACTTAAGGTCAACTCATGTTGATAGAAGAGATGTCAAACTTCATTCGGACTCACCTTGCAAGGCCCTCTCTACCATCATGCTATCCAAAAGCCCACTGCATTCAGATATTAGGAGGGTAGTCCTCCAATAGCTAGCTTACTCAGATAGCTCAAAGAACCCTAGATGAGAGGTTCTAATCTTGGCTGTGTACTGGAATCACATAGACAGCTTTTAACACTTTGGATACCTAAGCTCCAGTCCAGGGCTCTGCTCTCTAGACTGAGGAGCAGCCTAGGCAGTGGAGGTTTTTAGAGATCCTTAGAATGATTCTGATGGGGCAGCCAAGATGGAGAACTACTGTCTAGCGAGAAGCATATAATTCACTTATATGAAGCACTCTATTTAGCTAAAATATTTGTAAGTAAAATGGAGTAAGTCGGTGTAAGGTCAGGACTGGCCACTGAGCAGGTTTTCTATGATCCAGCAGACCTGGTAAAGAAGGACTCAGAGTCCTCAGTGGTTTTTGCAGGTCTTTTATTGGGATTTACCTGGTACACAGCAGGCAAGGGTGCTGGGGGGCCGGGAGGTTGGCAGGCCTTCCAGCCCCCAGCAAGTCTTGACTCTATCTGGGCTCTCTGGAGTTCTCTGTTTCTCTCTCAGCTTCTACTGGCATCCTCATGACGCCGCCCTTAAAAGCTCAGTCTTAGCCCAGATGAATCCTATCTACCTATGCCCACACCCTATTCCAGGTGCCCGCCATCAGGCATGCTTTCAGGACCGCAAAGATCCATCATCTATCCTGATGGCGGGAGGGCAGAAAAGCCTGACATTTTTCCTTACCCTACAGTTGGGCTCTTTTTCGCACCTGCCACTGGCCTCTACAGCCACCAACTGCGGCTTTGTTTTCCTCCTATGTTACAGTATCCATATGTGACACTGTGTTATTGCACAAAGCACTTGGGTGTGTGAGCATGTGGCATGCACCACTCTGATTACAGACACCTGGGCTGAGAAGCAGGACCAGGGAGAGACTGAGAAGGGAGAAAGAGGCGAGAAACCAGAGAGAGCAGAGATTGAAAGCAGAGGGTGAGCTAGGAAGCACAGCTACTGCCTGCCTCCCTGCCTGGTCTGCCTGTGTACCAGTCCCCTGCTTCAGCATTAAAGGCCTGTCAAATCTATCGAGCACTCCAAGCTTTCTTTCCATTCGCCCAAAATAACCATGAACCTGCCAGGCCTGGAACATTTGCCCGTACAGTATCATAAGAGGAACTGTGGGAAAGCACCTTTGAACCCATTAGGGGCACTCATAGCCAGCTCTATGATAGAGGCAGAGCTTTCAAACTCTACCTTCTGAGCGGGAGCTGTTGATAGGAAAAAGGGTGTTGGTGTTTTTGGCAGTTAAACTGCTGGGATGTTTGGCACTTAATGGGGAGGAGGGTGTCTGTGGAGAAGCTGCCAGCTTGCTACATGTGGCTTCAGCTTGGGCCTCACTCTCTGCTCAGCTAGGTGGGGCAGGACAGATGGCATCCGGCCAAGTGCCCACCTGTACACTCTTCCTTCTTCCCAACCCCAATTTTTGCCTCCCTATAAATAAACTCTTATGTGTCTCTTTTTGAGTCATGTCCTACAGTCATAAATGCTCCAACATTTCTGACATTAAAATCCAGAACTTGCTCTCAGTCATGGAAGCCTTAATGTCAATAACAAGGAGATTAAACTTAGCCATTAGAACCTGTAAGTGAAGAGCAGGATTTTAAAATTAGTATAGATAATTTTACCACAACCAATTTAAGTTTACCTTTCCCAGTATACAGATAACAATATTTTCATTGTTTTACATATCCATTGCCTATTTCCATGCAAGATACAAGAGACTCCTCAGATTACTAAAAATGGAGCTACCATATGACCTAGCAATTCCACTCCTGGGAATCTACCCAAATGACACAAAAACACTGATTCAAAAGGCTACCTGTACCCCCATGTTTATTGCAGCACTATTTATAATAGGTAAAACTTGGTGTAGGGTAAGGTAAAAGTATCAGGCTTTTCTGCCCTCCCGCCATCAGGATAGATGATGGATCCTTGCGGTCCTGATTGCATGCCTGATGGCGGGCACCTGGAATAGGGTGTGGGCAGAGGTAGATGGGATTCACCTGGGCTAAGACTGTGCTTTTAAGGGTGGCATCACGGGGACGCCAGCAGCAGCAGAGAAGCAGAACGAATGGGAGAAGCAGCAGAATGGAGCAGAACCACAAGAGAAGCAAAGAGAAGAAAACGAAAGACTAGCAGAGCGAAGGAGAAGCAGAGGCCACCAGAGAATGCCGGAGAGCCCAAAAAGAGTAAAGACTTGCCAGGGGCTGG